ACTTATGTATAAGATGAAATTGCCAGAATGTTAACAAAAAACGAATATTAATTCTTTGGATCACTGGAATAAAACAAGCTTTCTTTCCATGTTTCGCGTAAATAGAAATATATTTAACACGCTAATATCTGTTGATAGGAGGATCAATCGAATTGAAAAAAATATTTCTTACTTTGAGTTTTGGAAATTTTATACTTTCAGTATGTTAGTGACTATGTCATCTTGCCACTCTTCATTAGGTATGCAAATTTTTACTGCTTCATGTTAAAAATATTTACCAACGATCATCACTATATGTATGGTTTCTTCAATGATTATTAAAATTTTTTGTCATATAACAGTCATATAATTAAGTGCTCGCTTTATGTAAAGTTAAGGTAAATCAACTAAAATTCTCGCTATAATGCTATATGTGATATTAGTTCAATAAAAAAAAGGTTGTTTTTATTGACATACCTTGAGTGCTTTGTAGCTTGTAGGATATTGTTTCGTAGGATATTGAAACTTTTTTCACCTTGATACTATACCTAACTAAATTTAAATAATATTCTCAATAAAGTTTGGAAGACTGATGTAGTTACTTCCTCTAAGATAAAACCAAGAAAAATATATATAATTAAAGATTTCAGATATATTTTGTTGTGGCTTGAGATGCTGTCACGTGATGATAACCTACAGTAAAGTTAACTTCGTGGGACTGGTTGCTTTGCTTCAATAACTTTCCAGTTGCAGTCAGATTAATAATTGCATGATCCTAATGCAAAGGAAGAGCGATGAAGAGGGCTCTATACTTTCTTTTTGTGGCTTTTCGGCTGCTATACTGTGAAGGTAAGCTCTTAAAATATTTTTCCCCTCTTTCTATTTTAAAACAAAGAGACTAAACCTTTTCCTTCTTAAAAAGCTTCGTCACATCATAATCCACATTCATTGTCTTTCAAAATGAAAGTACAAAATCGAGGGCGAACTGATTTCTTAAATATTTGTTTAATGGTTCTGAAATACCTCATTATCCAAAATAATAAGACTGATAGTCCTACTATACAGATAGGATCGCTTTTCGATTCTTGCAACGCCAAGTTTTTTTATAATGTTTGTTTGATTTGTTGTTCTCTTTTGCCACTTGAATTTTTCTAAATTCTCTAAGATTTCTTTCCTTAAAAAAAATCATTATAGGAGTTGAAATTATATCGAAGTTTTACTGAACAAATTAAAAGAATCAAAATTTTATATCGACAGCTAGATAGTAAATCTTCTTATGACGCAGTAAAATTAACGTCTATATTCGATAACTWGTCTATTCTTGTCGGTTTCGTTTGACTAACTCTCAACAAACAGCCTTGAGGTTGTTTCTTGGTGCACCACTCACCTCTGCGTTAACGGTTTTGATTTCTGGACCTCGCATCTCC